TGGAGAACAGGGCTTCCAGAGAGTGGGGCTTCTGGGTGCACAGTCAAAGGGCAGTCACAACCTCATGCCTTCCAAGTCTTGGCTGGACTTGGAAGGCAGCCTCTTCCTACCTCCTATGCCTTCCAAGTCTGTGCTGGACTCAGAAGACAGCTGGGAGGGACGGTGGCAGGCTGGCCCTCCTTCTCCATCCCAAGCTTTCTCCCTGGAGAGGAAGCCCAGGACGGAGCAGCCTGCAAGGATGCACCCATGCCATTCCTGCTCAATAGAGACAGGGGGCCCAACCAGCTGTCATTCCTCCCTTCTGGGTGTCAATCAGTGTGATCCACATCCCCCTAGTGATGCTACTGGTCTCAATATCCCTTTGTATGTCAACCCCACCCTCCAAGCATGTGTGAATAGGACAGACTTCCTTCATACCACCTTACTAAATGCAGAGAGTTTGGGAACTTGGAGGGTGGGGTTGACAGGATTATTTATTTATTCACTATCCCAACTTTATTGTAATCAGGACCCAGGTTGATGTGTTGTAGTTGTGTTTATTGTAATCAGGACCCAGTTGTTGTTGTGTGCCTTCAAGTCATTTCTGACTTATGGCAACCCTAGGGCAAACCTATCATGCAGTTTTCTTGACAAGATTTGTTCAGAGGAGGTTTGGGATTGCCATCCCAAGGCTGAGAATGTATGACTTGCCCAAGGTCACTCAGTGGATTTACATGTCTGAGCCAGGATTCAAACCCTGGTCTCCACAGCCCTGGTCCAATGCTCAGACCAGTACACAATGCTGGCTCCACCTTAAAAACACAATACAATTCTTTTAAAACATTTAATTCAAAAGTTAAAATATATTTAAACTAACTTTAATTTTAAAAACACAGTTAAAACAGCATTTAAAAGAAATATAAAACATAGTAAAATAAAAGCACTACACCCCCTCCCTATTAAAAACTCTATTTACCACCACCAAATGCCTCCTTAAATAAAAAGGGTAAGGCTCAGGCTCCAAGTTGGCTCAACAGCAAACCTAAGTGTGCGATCAGAATTTGGGAAACAGAGTTTTAGACTAAAAATCCTTGAATTCCCCAGCCAGTGGCTCTTGCCTATGAGCATACTGGGATTTATAGTCCAGAAAGCCACTTTTTCAAACTTGTGCAGCTATGTAATAAATGAAAAGGTATGGTGTATACTAGATAGCAAAAGCATGTACCCAGCCAAGCGAGGAAACAACTTCACTTTTTTGCTAGTTACATTTTAAGTGCCTGTGAAAAGGAGTTCAGCACTTGAGATGTATGCTTTTCTTCACATGCCAGCAGCTGCCTCTGGGAGTCAGGGCAAAGAAAGCAAATTAAAAACAAGAAGGGGAGGGAGATTCAACCTCTCTGTCACCCTTCTTTAAAAAAGAGAGCCATTGTGATCTAAATCCTTCTGCTGAGGAGGACAAAAAAAAAGGACATCCACAAGCATGTCCCACACTCTGTATGACGCACAAACTTCTTTCTAAACATAGAACATATTATCAGTGCGGCTGTACATATAAACAAGTGAATGACTGTCAAACACCATGTTTATCTAATGGCCCATAATAGAATAAAAGTGCACAATAGGAGAGGGAAAGTTTTAAAAGTATGGTTCAGGTTAGCAAAATTCTTTTTTTAAACTTTTAAACTGCAACTTTTTAAAAAAGTATATTTCAGGTTAGCAAAATTCTTTTTCCCTCAAAAGGAAAAAAAGGATGGGAGGGAGCATTATACAAGACAGAGAGAGTACACAGCTGTCCAACAAGTGCTGAACCATAGCACAAGAGCCTTGTTTAGATAATTAGTGAATCCTTTACATTATTCTTCCCAGAAAATACAGAGCTGAGACTCACTATGGAACAACACCTCTACCAACAAGCTTCAGAGGAGCCACTTTGCATTGGATAAAACATTCCACTCTGGATCTTTCACAAGTAAAATGAAAAAGCAAGATGAATCTGGAAACTTTGAAGTAGAGCTTGGGGAAATTACTTTTAGGGCTATGGTTTAGCAAAGTCCCCCAGCCATTGTGGTTATTGATCATGTTGGCTAGTGATTGTGGAGGTTGTAGCCCAAAAGATATTTTCAAACTGTTCAGGTTGGCAAAGTATAGAGCACAGAAATCGGCAGCACCAGGGCATCAATTGTTTGCAGACCACTATTTCCACACTCCTAAAATGTTTCAGCTCTGGGGGGGGGGGGGAATTGGATTTCAAGCAGTTTCTGTAAAGAGAATTTGCCATGCTAACTTGAGCTTCCCTAGGGAACCGGTATAGCTCAACACGAAGAAGTTGCCATGAGAAGCATTTGATTTTTATTTCTATTTGTTGCTGTCCTTTTTTTTTATTTTAAGTGCATTTAAAGATTGTACTGGACCACTATTTTACAATGACCAAGTGACTTAGATATGGAAATCTGATCCTTCCCCACCCACATGGGCAACTGGCGTGTGAAATCAATACTCCATTGAAACAAAGCAATATTAAGAGTCTGTGACATAAGTGTACATAATTAAATTTACAAAGTAAGAGAAGAGGACAACAGACTAATGAATGAATTAGCATCTTAATAAATTGGACCCAGTAGTGGCAGCTGGGGGCTTCTATTTAAGTTGGGCAATGCATCTGCCCTGGGTTTTATTCTTTAACTGAAAAGAGCTTTCCATGGTCCTAATCCTTATTCCCAGAGTAACTTCAGTACCTTGGATAACTCATATAAAGTTCAGACTAAAATCTGGAACAAAGTTATCACCCTAGTAATATGAAAGCCACTAGCTGTTCCTGGGATCCCAATTTATTCATGCTTAGAGATGACACACTGAAATCAATCAAGCAAACAAAAAAGTAATAACTATCTCTCTGATGGTTAAAATTTTATCTCTTTTAATGCTGATTTTATAACTTTTAATTAATACTTTTTGATTATATGTGAATAATATTTTATATTATGTGTGAATTATGGCATGTTAGTGGTTTGTGCTCTTAATAAAGGGGGACATTGGAATTCATTTATTCTTTTATTAAATAGCTAATTAAATATTTAAAGTTGTTTTTAACATTGTGTTCCCTATACTAATTTATTTAGTAAATGATATTTTATATTATAATGTATGATAGCAAGTATTTTAGTCAGTCACTTTAAGCAGGAGTAAGTCTGGGTCCATCCCCCTGTATAACAGATTCAAAGATGCTGTACAACCTACTTCTTTATTAGCAAAATTGTAGAAAATCAATTTGTTGGTTAAAATGTTTATTTTTATGTAAATCACATTCATCATTGCAGCAGGAGGAGGAGGAGAAATAGTTGGATGTGCCTTTCTCATTGCCTTTCCAACTTGCTAGACCAGTTTTGACCAACACAAAACTATGGATAAAATGCAGAATGCCCATCTGTTTCTCACATTGTGCTAGTTTTAGTGTTGCCAAAGTAAAACCTATGTAGGACTCCTGTACCTTTAATGGTTGTATGTACAAAGGAATTTCACTAAGGACATTATCACACGGGGGCAAATCTGCTGGTTAATCCACA